AACCAATAAACGCATAAAGCCCAACCTCTATCATACTCAACTCAAGAGGCAAAGCATGCATGCTCTATGCAATGCAACCTAAGCAAGGAGGCTAAGTATGCAACATGAACATGAGGGCAACTATGCAAGTTAGCAAACATGCAAAGTGTAATCTTAAACCATGCAAGCATGCAAGATGCAACATGGACGACATGTTAAGTATAATTCATGCCAAATGCATTAAACCTAAGCATGCAAAGGTGCAATGTATCAAACACGCAAAATGCAATGAACAAACATGGAACAAGGCCAAATATGCAACAACACGTAAGGCAAGCATGCAACAACATGATAGAATGGTCTTAAACTAATTTGGACAGCTCTCAACTAGGCCCAAAACAGTGGCCAAATGCTAAGGAAATGGGGGCCAAGTACACATACAATCATGCATGCAAATGGACCAACACTTAAGCATAAAGGAGGGACTCTTAAGCACACTTAAAAGAGATGAACATGACACATGGCATGCATACTTAGCTCTGAAATTATGTTAGAAAGATGCCAAACCAACTAAACAAATCAAGCAAAACATGCACATGACTTTACACACTCAAGGCCTACAAGCGCGAATGCAAAGAGACTATACAAAACATGTTAAGCATGGCCAAAGCAACTGAACAGAGCTAAAGGATACTAAAACATGCATAAAAGCTTCACAAAGCTTGGCCAAAATCATGCTAGAACGAGGGTCAAAGCCTAAAGCATGTTAAGGCAAATTCATGGCATTACAAGACAAGTATGCAAGGCATGCATGGTGTGTCTAAACCAAGTAAAATAGTGCTACATCATGGAAAAATAAGCACAAATAACACTTAAGACATGGCCAACATGAACTTAAAAATGGTGCTCACATGTGAGGCAAATGGCACTTTTGAAGGCAACAAGGGGAGGGGATGGCCCTCTCCTTCTTAGGACCTTAAACCACCATCCTCACCACTGAAATCCCTCAAGATTTCAGTGGTGAGGAGGCCCAAACAAGGTGATCCCGTAGCTCACCAAAAATAGCACAAAATGGGGCCAAACAAGGCCTAAGAGGGGGTAAACAACCCCAAACACAAAAGTAATCTTAAACAAACTTCAAAAGGAGCTCAAAATAAGATTTTTTTCAGTTTATGACAAATCCCAAATATGCTTTCAAGATAGGCTAAAAGTGTGTGCAAAAACGGGAAATAAAGAGAGAAAGAGGTTACCCTTGAAGCCCACTTCCAAGAACACCAAACCAACAGCCTCTTTGGATCAAAACCAGCTCAAAAACCCCTCAAACAATAGCTTAGCACCTCAATAACCAAAGAGTAGAGATAGAGATATAGAGAGGGAGTGATATATATTCTATATATCAGATTTTTCAACCTTTGAAATGGGAGGAGAGGCCCTCCTTTTATAGAGAAACCAAGGGGGCAAAGCTTTTTAGAGAAGCTAAGGTAAAGGGGCCAAGCTTCTCTTAGAAGCTTGGAGCAAAAGGGCCAAGCTTCTTGGAGAAGCTAGGCAAAGGGGTCAAGCTTCTCTTAGAAGCTTGGAGCAAAAGGGCCAAGCTTCTTGGAAAAGCTAGGTAAAGGGGTCAAGCTTCTTGGAGAAGCTAGACAAGGGTTCAAGCTTCTCTTAGAAGCTTGGAGCAAAGGGTTCAAGCTTCTTGGAGAAGCTAAAACAAAAGTTCAATAGGTTCAAGCTTCCTCAAGAAGCTAAAACCGAGGGTTCAAAAGGTTCAAGCTTCCTCAAGAAGCTAAAATCGAGGGTTCAAAAGGTTCAAGCTTCCTCAAGAAGCTAAAACAATGGTTCAAAAGGTTCAAACCCCCCCAAAGAAGAGGTCTCGGCCAGAAAAGGTGGCCGATTGACCGAAACAAAAGGCCGGTCGACCAAAAATAGTGCTGGTCGACCATCATTAATGGCCGATGGCAATAAACAGGGCCGGTGGCCTCAAGCCATGGCCGGTGAGGTGTGGGGATGGCCAACAAGCCATTCCCTGCCCCTCAAAAGCAAAACACAAGTGTTTGGTGCAAAACCAAACACAAAACAGTCGAGTCGAGAGGTCTTGAGGCAAGGCGCGTGGCCGAGACCTCCGAGAACTCAGGACGAACACAAACAGGGATGATCATCGAGTGTTCAAACGATGACGTCCAACTCTCGAGGACGGTCAAAAATGGGGTGTCTACATGTGACACCTACATAAACGTAACGTAACGTGTCACGTTACGTTTCGCAAACTTACTAGGTTTTTGATTTTTTAAATTGAATGTGAAAATGTTACTTGTTCATATATTTTGAAATTCACATTCATATAGATATGATCTATGGTAACATTCATATATTTTAAGTTTGCGAAACGTAACGTGACACCTACATAAACGTAATGTAACGTAACCCCTATATAAACGTAACGTAACGTGTCACGTTACGTTTCGCAAACTTACTAGGTTTTTTATTTTTTAAATTGAATGTGAAAATGTTACTTGTTCGTGTATTTTGAAATTCACATTCATATAGATATGATCTATGGTAACATTCAATTTCCTATATATGGTTTTGCCATTATAGTGTATAATAGTATATTAATACCATTTATTTACAACTCATAGGATCTTGTGGAATACATTCCTATCTAAATAGGACTTGAAACACTATAAGAAATTACACAAGACTTAACATAATATAAGTGTCCGAAATAGGACTTATAAATAAGTCTCCCTTTAAAAAATAAGTAAAAGATAAAACGTGAAAGGTCAAAATAAAATTTGAGTGAAAGATAAAAACATAGATAAATTAAACTAAAAATTGAGAGAAAGTTGGAGGATGAATTATTTATTTATTATTTTTTTTTTTATGCCTTTAAAATCTGTTCACATGGCTATTATGTAGGAAGACTTTTTATTGGGTATATCTCCTTAGTGTAGTGTGGGATGAGAAATTATTCAATATTATTGGAGCAAGTCTAGGTAATACTCGAAATAAGTAGTTATTGGTAATCATGAAATCTACCGCTTTTGTATTAGAGTTTTAAAAGACAATATTAAGTATTAACTTATAATTTGAATAAAGTATTGTCCCAGAATATTGATAAATTTCTCGTATAGAACCCATTTCACTCAAGTTATATTTATATACATCTCCCCTTTGGAGTCTCAATGGTCATTTAGCCTCCGTTTGGGAAGTGGGTTGGCTTTTTGACTTTTTGGCTTTTTTAACCTGGGCTAAAAAGCTTGGTTTGGGAAGGGCTTTTTGGCTTTTTGGCTTTTTTGACTTTTTTTGTGAGAGAATAGTGTAATTATTATGGATTAGATGTGATGTTTTGTTTGTTGTGGCTAAAATAACCTATTTTGTCTTTTGTGGCCAAAATAGCCAGACAAGCCCCGTTTAGCTCTTGCCAAACGAAGCCTTAGGTTGTTAGCTGCTAGTATATTGTTTCTCAAAATCTGATTGGTGGAAATTGGTGATAATACTTAAGTCTTGTTTGGAAATATAATATTTTAATAATTTTTTAGATTTTTGACTAAAATAAGAGGTAAAAAAAAATTAATATATTTGAAATAATTTTTTAGCTTTTCTGAAAATATATGCAAACAATAGAGAGAATAAGGAATCTTTAACTTTTTGATATATATTGTTAACTTTTTAATTTTTTTTATGACCTTTTAACTTTTAAACTAAAATATTGAATTGTCAAACGAGACTCAATGTGCTTTGGGAGACTAAGGGACAACAATACACTTTGTATTGTTATTTGTGTAGTGCTGCAAATTGTCAATTCAATTTCGATTGGTTGATTTGGTGAATAGTGTTGTGTGTCTTTAAAACCGTAGTGCTCTTCTTAGTGCTGCTTTTGGCTGGTGTTTCGAAGTCTTCTCTGTTTTTGTTTCTGGCTGCTTCGAAGCACTGTTTAGGTGCATATTTGGCTTCTTCAGTGGAGACTAATTTGGGTCTATTATCTTGGGTTTTAAACAACTTATTTGAAAATAGTTTGTTTATCTATTTGATGAGGTTTCTTCTCTTAATTATTTATGATTATTTTAAATTCACTTAAGGATGATTTTGAGATTTTTTTGACTCATTTGTAATCATTTATAAATTCTTTATTGATAGTGAAATTGGATTACGGTCTCGTAGACGTACCTCATATTGAGAGAATCACGCAGGGCCGACCCTGCCCTAAGGCAGGTAAGGCTTGTGCCTTAGGCCCCAAATTTTGGCCGAAAAATAGGCCCCCCAAATTTAAAAAATTGTTAAAGGCCCAACTTTTTTTTTTTTTTTTTTTGGTTTTAAGATCAATTTAAAGGGCCCCAAACGTTTTATTGGGCCCATGTATAATTTAGCCCATATTTATTTATAAATGTGTTTGGCCCATATTTATTAAAATGAAAATATATAAATAAAAACAAAAAAAACAAAAACTGAAAATGTGTTTGGGCCCAACCCAAACCATACATACAAATACAATATACAATACATGTCCAGTGCACTGCTAGTGTAGTGAGTGCTTCTGTTTTCAATCTCTCTTTAACGAAACGAAGTGATGAAATGAAATGAAAGACTTTTATGTACACCAACTTGAAGGCAGGCAGACGCAGAGCATAGCATAGCACATTGTGAGCGACTCACTCTCCCTCTTTCACACACTCCTCCTCCGGCGATTCACTCTCTCTCACACACACTCTCTCTCATGTAAGTCCTCTCTCTCACTATCATATTTTATTAAATAAAGTTGCCCTAATTTTTTTTTTTATATTCTTTCTCTATCAATTAGTGGAATAATAAATTTGCCCTAATTTTTTTATTACCTTTTTTATCCATTAGATTTTAATGGAATAAATAATTTAGCCCTAATTTTTTTACCTAGGTATTTATCTATTTTAATTGAATAATTTGTTTGCCCTAATTTTGTTTCATTAAATTTTTTTTTATAATTTATTTGCTATCAGATCAGTGGATTGTGATTTGTGGATTGATTTGAAGTGTTTGTGATTATAGCCATGTTTCCTAGGAAGTATAGTTCTAGAAATGAAAAGAGAAAGAAGTGGATGAAAGTAGAACAATTAATTCAATCTCAATCGGGAGCACTTGATAAATATTTTGGTACCAAGAAACAAGTAGATATTTTGGGTTCAAATGACAATGATGATGAAGATTTGGTAATTGAAGAACCTACTCATTGTGTGAATAATAATGAGAATGATGATTTGGTGATTGAACAACCTAGTGAACATATGAATGGGAATGAGAATGAGAATGAAGATTTGGGGAATGGTGAATCTAGTGAAAGTGAAGATGTCAATGTTGAATGTGGACCTCTAAACATTTATGACCCTAGTAATTGGGACAAGATTGATCAAAATTTAAGGGATTTACTAGTTGAAAGAGGTCCCATAAGAGGTAATGGTGTGAATTTTTCCCTAGATGACAAAGATAGGCATTTTTCTTCTACATTTTACATGCGACAGTTACAAAATGGAGAGAAGCAGGATAGGAAGTGGCTAGTATATTCAGATGCTTCAGACAAAGTGTTTTGCTTTGTTGCAAGCTGTTTAAGCAAGATGGGAACAATATTCATTAGGCTACTGATGGATTGAAAGATTGGAAGAATATAGGCAACAGGCTTAGAAGTCATGAAACTAGTTATGAGCACTTTATTTGCATAAGCAAATGGATTGAATTGGAAACTAGATTGAAGAAGAATGAAACAATTGATAGAAGTGTTCAAGAACAAATCAACAAAGAGAGGGAACACTGGGGACAAGTGTTACTAAGGATAATTGCTATTATAGCGATCCCGGTTCTTCCTCCTTTGGTTGTTGTATTCGGACTTGATTCCGTGGATGTCAGTTGTGGTTTATATCTTGTTTCCATCCTTTAATACTTTGTATTTGAGTTATAGGATGTTTTGGGCAGGATTGTTACAGGTTGGGTGTGATTGGGAGCAAATGGTTGTTGTCCAGAATTTTGGTTCTTCGCTCGAGCGAGGCTTTTGTCGCTCGAGCGAGCTCTGTGTTTTAGATCCTTCGCTCGAGCCAGGGTTCTTTCGCTCGAGCGAGAGTTGAGTTTTGTATCTGGTGGCTCGAGCGAGAAGTCCTTCGCTCGAGCTTGCGTCTGCGTCTAATTCTAGACCTGAGGGTTGTAATTCTTCGCTCGAACGAGCTTTCCTTCGCTCAAGCGAGCGAGGTCTATGTTTTGGGTTTCTTCGCTCGAGCGAGCATTCTGTCTCTCGAGCGTGCTTCTGGGTTGCATACCTGAAGCTTCAAATTGTGGGCTCGAGCGATGCTTTCTACGCTCGAGTGAGTATTCTTTGTGTCTGGTCGCTCAAGCGACCACTTCTTCGCTCGAGCGAGCCTGTGTTATATCAGTAGACAGCAACGGGATTACACTTCACTTTTTCATCTCTTTTATCTTCAAAACCCTAGATCCATCCTCTCTCTCTCTCTCTATACACCTTCTCTCTAGGGATTGATCTACTTTTAGTGTGTTTCTACCCTAAGTTCTTTGTAAGAAAGGTAGAGGATGGTGTGGGCTTCATTTTAATTTGAAGAATCTTGGATTTGGAGCACTTTGGGTTTTGATCATCTTCTCCATTTGAGCTCTTCATTTCGAGGTAGGGATAACCTACTCCATCTTATGAGTTTTGACATAAGTTTCATGCATTTTGAGTAGTTGGTGATGTTGGGTAATTTTGGAAAAAGTTAGGGTTTGATTTGTAATTTGATAAAAATGGGGTTTTTCATATATTAAACTTCATGTGTATGTAAGACTTGAAAAATGGTATTATTAGTGTCAAATTGAGGAAATTGAATCTTAGGGTTGATTTTTGATAAAATGAGGGGAATGCCCTAATTATTGTGATAAATTAATTGGTATAATTAATTTGGGAAAATATGAAATTGAGTTGAGATCCATGAAATTGGGAAATTATGGGATTGAATGGTGTAGTTGGATTAATTTATCACTCACATACAGAAATGTTGAGATTATATCTGTTTGATGCATTTATTATCTATTTAGAAATAACTGCTTTGGGCTATCGGTGGAGGATAGTCTTGATTGTTGTAGACACTGTATGTTGATTAGGGAAAACTGAAACTAATCACATTGTATACGACGATTGGAATAATACATCAAAGTTGTGTATTGATTGAACATGTATATGATAAACGTTTATATGCATTATGTTGTATGAGGGGAGATAAGGGATGTACTCCATGGTTTAGGAAGAGATAGGGGATGGACTCCTAAACCGGATGTTATTTGGGAAGAGATAGGAGATGGACTCCAATGATACAGCAAATATGTGTATTAAATGGAAGTGTTAATACAACGAATATGTGTATTATTTGAAGTATGGAGGTGTTTAAATTGTGAGTCATAGACTCATTTGAATTGTGAATCAGGGTAATGTTTTAATGTGAGATGTGGTCTCACTTAACTGTTTGGCCAGGTTCTGAGCCATGTCCATGGAATGATTTGGATAAGTAAAGAATTATGAAATGAAACATGGACTTTATGTCATGGAATTGGATGATGTTGAAATTGGTTTATAAGTGTTAACCATCTATCAAATGCTATTGTTTTAGTCATTGTTCATATTTGGTTTAGTATATCTCTACTGGGCTGTGGCTCACCCTATATGGGACATCATTTTCAAGTACAGATGGTATGCCACCTCCAAGGACGTAGCTGGAGAGGCTAAAGGCTGAAAGACTTTTTGTATTATCTTTTATATATTGCATGTAAATCGAGCCAAGGGCTTACTTTGTATAAAGAGTTAGTACTCTTCTTTTGTTGTACCCAAGTGTTGACTTGGAAAGTTGTAAGCCTATAGGGCATTTACTTTTATTGTCAACATGTAATACATCTGTAATCAATACTCTGATAAATAAAAATATGCTTTACTCTCTTATGTCAATGCATGTAAAGAATGTTAGGTTTTATGTATTTTTTTTAGGGCGTTACAGCTATTGTGATCACTCTTGCTAAAAATAATTTAGCTTTTCTTGGAGACAATGAGAAGATTTATCAAGAAAGAAATGGAATCTTTTTAAGCTTAATTGAAATGCTTGCTAAATTTGATCCAGTAATACAAGAGCACATTCAACGTATTCAAAGGAGTGAAATTCATTACCATTATCTTGGCCACAAAATCCAAAATGAATTGATACAGATGTTAGCGAGTGAGATCAAGAGTACGATTGTGGCAAGAATCAAAGAAGCAAAATATTTTTCAATTATTCTTGATTGTAATCCAGATGTTAGTCATGAAGAACAAATGTCTCTTGTGATAAGATGTGTAGATGTTTCAACTAGTCCGGTAAAGGTAGAAGAATTCTTTTTAGAATTTTTGAAAGTGGATGATACATCGAGGTTTGGACTTTTTAATGTACTTAGAGAGGCATTGCACACACTCCAGCTTGATATTGGTGATATAAGAGGGCAAGGATATAATAATGGCTCTAATATAAAAGGGAGACACAAAGGTGTACAAAAAAGAGTACTTGAAATAAATCCAAGAGCATTCTACACACCATGTGGGTGTCATAGTCTTAATCTTACCCTTTGTGATATGGCTACCTCTTGTTCCAAGGCTATCTATTTCTTTAGAGTGGTACAACGCATATGTGTTGTTTTCATCTTCTACAAAGAGGTGGAAAATTTTCAAAGACAATGTGGAAGGTCTCACACTTAAGCCATTATCACAAACTCCTTGGGAAAGTTGCATTGAAAGTGTTAAAGCTATACGATACCAAGCTCCACAAATTAGAGATGCTTTAATTCAGTTGGAAAAAGAAGCTGATGATCCCAATACAAAGTGTGAAGCTGAATCCTTAGTTACATCTGAAATTGAGAACTTTGAGTTTTTGCTTGGCATGATTATTTGGCACAATCTGTTGTTTGCTGTTAATTCTGTTAGCAAGACATTTCAAGCTGAAGACATGCATATTGATGTTGCTATACATCAATTAAAAGGACTCATTACATTTCTTGAGAAGTATAGAGAAACTGGATTTTTGGAGGCCATGATTGAAGCTAAAGAAGTTGCAATTGAAATGGAGATTGAACCTACATTTCGTGAAAGGCGTGTCATTCGTAGAAAGAAACATTTTAATGAGAATGTTAGTGAAGAGGTTGCACAATCAGCTGAAGAATCCTTTAGAGTTAATTATTTCATATATATAATAGATCAAGCTCTTTCTTCACTTAAGAGTAGATTTGAACAATTTCAAATATATGATGAAACTTTTGGATTTTTGTTTGATTTGAAGAAGTTAAATTCTACCAATGATGAGTGCTAGAAGACTTATTGTGCTAATCTTGAAGAGTTTTTGAAACATGATGGGCTTATGGATGTTGATGGGAGAGATTTATTTTCTGAGTTGAAAGTCTTCAAAGAAATTTTGCCAAAAGAAATCAATAGGCCAATTGAGGTGATGAATTATTTGAAATTGATGGATGGTTGTTTTCCAAATGCCTGGATTGAGTATAGAATATTATTGACTATTCCAGTTACCGTTGCATCTGGAGAAAGAAGTTTTTCAAAGTTAAAATTGATCAAATCCTACCTTCGATCAACAATGTCACAAAAAAGATTGAATGGATTAGCTATATTGTCTATTGAAAAGGATTTGGTAGATAAATTAGATTATACAAACTTAATTAGTGATTTTGCAGCTAAAAATGCAAGAAGAGTAGTATTTAAGTGATCGTTGGGTTAATTGTAAGCTGGATATTGCTAAATTATAAAGCAACAAAACCAGTTTTTAATATTTTTGAGTCATTGTACTGATTTCTTCCTATCTTAATATATGAAAGTAAATTTTAGTTTATAATTTTAATGATTATATGTTCAAGTATACTTAAATAAAACATTTGTGAATACTTATCATTTTATGCATAAATTTTTTATTAAAAAAAAATATATTAGAGGAGCCCCATTTTCATAGTGCGCCTTAGGCTCCACAAATCTCAGGGTCGGCCCTGGAATCACGTTAAATTGTTATGTCGTTGTTGATTTATTTTTTCGCATTAATTTTATTTCCTTCGATTTGATTTATACTTGTGAAAAATCATTTATTTTTCTCTAACACTTTCTATCAATATTTTAAAATTGAGCGAGGAAAAAATTACATAAAGACAAGATTTGAAGTTTGAGAACTTGTTACAATTAAAAAGTGCAGGACCAAAGTGAAATTCAAATGAAAATTACAGGGTGAATATATCTACATACATGTATATTAGCTTTCTAAAGTCCAGTTGGCAGTACATGTGTGGTTTGCGTAGAAAAGGATTGTGAATTATGTTTTTACCTTTCCAATAATATGACTGGATAGTCACGCCGGGGTTTTCGTTTGCTTCTCTAACATGGGTTATACATTGGACTCAAATTGGAACTTGATCAAAAGTTTGAAAGGTTTATTGTCACAATTAAAAGGTTAAGAGATAAAATGACACAGAGTATAAAGTATAGGTCACTAAGTGTAATTTGCCTATCAAAATTTGATTGTAACATTGCTATTTTGACATTAACAACGAGAGAAGCCAATTCTTATGTTGTAAAAAGATTTGACACTGTTGATTGTTGCACTTAATGTACTTTCACAATAGTTATTATTTAACTAGTATGTGCTTAGACATGAAAGTGTTTTAAAGATGCATTAACCATAAAGCTTTTAAAGGACTATTGAAAAATTTAGATTTGTGCGGAAAACTCTTTTGAAAAGTCTAGAGACGTCCCGTTTAGCGTGATTATTGATTTAGGCAATCTAATAAAAAATTAATACAACCATGATCAATATAGAGAAGAGAGAGTAAGAGCAAATCAATCCATGACACTAGATATTTTTTACGTAGAAAAATCACAATTAGAATCTACCAACTTGTGATAAAAAATCACGAGTCATCAACCAAACGAATAATCTACTATGCAAGAAAGGTAGTACAAGAGATATCATACAAAGGCCAATCCAGGCACATAAGTCCACTCACCGGCACACGACTTGCTCAATCTACAGGTAACTTCACAATCTCCATTAGATATCCACTACGGTTGTCGAATCACCACGACACTAATGATTTCAGAATCCACTGAAATTTACAATCTTGGAATCTACCAAGAAGGTTCACTTTTTGAAAAGGTGAAGAACTTATACAACAACTTGATGATTAGCTTTGAGGCTCTTGGATGATAGTGTATCATCAAACAAATGAGAGTACAAACAATCCTCACTACAAGATCACTCTCAAATAATAAACTCTCTTACAAACATACACCCTCTCAAAAATGTATTTCTCTCAAAACTAAACTCTCTAGGGTTTTTGTAATGTTGAGCTCAAGAGAAATTTTGGAGAGCTAGAAAATATGCTAAGAGAGATACAAAATGGTCTTGGAGATGTGCCTCAACAAATGAGCAAAGGATCATTTAAATAGACTTGAGGCAAGACAGGTTCGCAGGTGCGGACAACTTTTTCGCGGGCATGGTAAGCCTTGGTCGTGACCATGGTGTCCCTACGTGGGTTACAAAGAAAAGTACTGGGAGTTGGACTTTTGGACTTGCCATGGTCGTAGGAGCGATTAGATGGACTGCGGGTGCGGCCTAGTGGTTACAGGTGCGATGGCTTGATCTACAAATCATAGGCACGAACGTCTAGGTCGCGGGTGCGGCTATGTATACTGGCTCAGTTGTTTTTTAAGACTTTTGCTGCAGCATTCTTCCACAAATTTGACCATGCTCCCCATGTGTTGACAACTTATTTTCCCCAGACAAATATCCTCCTTTTGGGTTGGGAAGATTACACAAGTTGTCCACCAAAATCTTTGAACCATGCTTATGCCAACAAGGTCAAGCAAACATGTGAAACTCCATCTTTTCACCCATGTGTTGCCACCAAAAAGCTAAGACAAACAGCCAACAAATCTTTGTCCCAACATGCCTAACTCATCTTGGAGCCACCAAAACCAAGAAGATAAAAAACCAACTAATAAACAATTTTTGTCAACTTTGTCTTGGTATTTTCCAAAATAAATTACATGCAACAAAGATTAGGATTAAAAATCCTAACAGTCTCCCCCTTTGGCAATGCCGGTACAAAACTACATCCTACACAAAATCTTTTAATTCAAACAACAAAATGAGACAAAAATGATTAAGCAGGAAATCATGATTTTTGTCTTTGGAACGGGATTGCCAACTTACATTGTAATGCACACAATTAGGATTGACAATCCTAACAATCTCCCTGTCACGATGCAAACCCGCCCCTATAGGTTTAGCGTCGTAACCGGCCAGTAATCCTGGGACTACCGAAGGCCTCTGAATCAGATTAACAAAATAAGGGGCTAGCAGAAGCAATTAGCAAAATACAATGTCCATAGAGTTGTACGGACTTATATGGGATACAAATTTAAAACTTATATTTACATATAAGTGATGTCATTAAAGCATCATCACATGTACAGATAAACAGGAAAGGACTTAGCCCTATATACAAAACAAACAAAAGAAAATAAGAGCTTAAAACTTGTTCATAACATATTGATTTCGGTACTCATCCACAAAAAACTTTCAATAACCTCCACGCGAGGCTTGATAGTTGGCTTGACAAAACAGAATCCAAGTTGTCATCTCTAGACCTGGTCATCCGCCTAATCACCTACATATATAATATAAATAATGAGCTAGAACCCAATGAATAACAATAGAGTAAAGGTTTTATGAATGATGTCCATAATAGATTCAAAAATCAAAAACAGATTCATAAACATTATTAGATTTTGCAAACAGTTATACGTGGTACATCTATTAGCTAACAGATCAGATTGGTCATAAAGACCCACATACAGAGTAATTGGTCATATAGATTTATATTCACATGAGATGGTCATTAAGACCCACGTGCAGATCAAATCAGATAATTGATTATGCATAATCAGTTCCATGTATGGAACCCGCGTGAAACCCTGTTACTAGGTAACAGATAACAGATATCAGATACAGATTTAAATGATGCTAAGGATTCCATGAATACAATTCAAAAAATTGGGCATTTATTCATGATTCACAAAATAGCATTTCAAAAAACAGATCATATCATATCATATCAGTCAAAAAATCATAATCAGTTCCATGTATGGAACCCACATGAAACCCTGTTACTAGGTAACAGATAACAGATATCAGATACAGATTTAAATGATGCTAAGGATTCCATGAATACAATTCAAAAAATTGGGCATTTATTCATGATTCACAAAATAGCATTTCAAAAACAGATCATATCATATCAGTTAAAAAATACTTTTACTTAAACATAGTTTTACAAAGTTATTACTCACAGATAGCTCTAGAAGTAAAACAGATGACTTAGACAGACCGGACTGATCAGGCGGACGATAGCACGTGACCACATGGCAGATACACATTGAAACACACATTTTGAAAACACTTGGCTTATTATATTTCTCTCTTAGTATTTCTAACTATTTTTCTCATTATTGTGGCTTAAACCATGGCTTAAGAATGCCTAAGATGGAATGAGGATGCAATTATACACTTTGAAACACTTGACAAAATTTCTAAAAACAAGGTAGTTCGCTCGAGCGAACCCCTTAGTCTGCAAAAGTATTGGATGTTCTCATTTTACGCTTGAACCAACTTCTTGGTCGCTCGAGCCAAGACTGAAAATAAAGGGTGGTCGCTCGAGCCAACCTTCGAACCCTACAAAAGTACTAGGAGCTTGCAAAGTACGCTTGAGTGATGGTTTCACCACTCGAGCAAACTGTGCAAATTCTAGAATTTCCAAATTTACTCTCCAAGTTCAAAACTCAAATTCAAAGCCTCAAAACTCATTCTTTTGGGCCACAACTTATGAAAACACTTAGAAACTTGTAGAAAATCTTGAATTGAAAATCATTTCGCCAAATCAAGGCCTAAAAGTATAGCGATCCCGGGTTTACCCTTGTTGTACAGTGATCCGGACATGTGTCCGTGGATGTTGGTAGTTGTTTATTATCTTGTTTACCATAAGTTATTGAAGTAATAAAAGTGGAATCATGTTGAATTCTCAAATTCATGCAAGTATAGGCTCATGCATCATTACAAGAAATAACACATTTTCCGACCACTTTTGCCGACCAAAAATATTTTTGTCGCAAAAAAATCACATTTGGCTACTAAGAAAAAAATTGGTAGGCAAGAGTTCATACTTTTACCGACTAGAGTAATTTAGTCACCGAAAAGTGATTTTTCGCAACTAATTTGAAATATTGGCCGCCAAAAATTTAGGCGGGAAAGTGAAACACTGGGAGGGAGATTAAAATCTTTTAGCAACTGTTGCAATTTAGTCGCAGATTTCAAAATGATGTCGTTTTGCTTGTTAAATGCACAAAGTCCAAATAGCCGACCAACATTGTTGTAAGGGAAAACAAATTCAAGAGCATTTTCCCAAATTAAGGCAAAATAGCAACCTATTTCCCAAACTAGGCCTAGTTTGGACGTATTTCCCAAACTAAGCTAAAACGTGGTTGTGAACCACGCTTTCACCATTTTTCTGGCCCTCTCGCGGAAAATTTGGAAAATCTTAAAAGCGTGGTTACAAACCACGCTTTTAATTGAGAAAGCGTGGTTACGAACAACGCTTTTAAGGAAATTTGATTTATAGAGAAAGCGTGGTTACGAACCACGCTTTTAAGTAAATTTTTTTTTTG